AATGGCAGGCGTTTTGATAGCTATCATTAGCCCTTTAATTGACTTCGGGCTTCAAAGAGGGAAGGTTCAACAAAGTAGCAGAAAGTCGAGGGGTGGGAACAGAAGAGCGATTCACAGATGTAAAAGAGGCAGACAGACACAAAAGCAGAGAAAAGTGTAAGATGAGTACTGTGGAAGCGGTCGAATATGACAAGCAGTCGTGCCATGGTATTTTGAAGTCAGAAGTCAACTGCCGATAAATAGACTTTTTTGCCGTATGAGCATACGTTGCCCAGAGTGCACCACGTGGAAGTAAGTCTATCGCACACCCCATTGGCAAATTATAGAAAGTTTGAGAAAATGAGTCTTTGTCCAAGTCGATCATGTCACTGCACATTCTTAATCGAAGAGTCAAGCGAAACAGTTTGCATCAACAACTAGCAGTATTCTTTTGCCTAATGATAAACAGGTCAGTCCCACTTTTATTTTGCTTCACCCACAAATAACTTGTGCATTAACTGAAAATATGCAATGGGCAAAACAGACATTATTGATATCGCCTATAGCAAAACATTAGAAAGCATTTCCATCCAAACTTGAGAAGCAAAAAGTGTCTCAAATTACCTTATTAATTCAAATTTACAGATACATTACACGATGACAAATAATATTTCCTCATAAATCTGGACCCAATCACACCTTGGTGGGAGGCCACTTGGCAAAGAAATCGGCATGGTGACTTGGTGGCAACCACGTCGCAAGTTCGTTTGAAAGAACTAAAATAAAGTAGAACGAGGGGACAGTCATGAAATACCCGTTTAATGATAAAAAATGTAAATAAAAGATGTAAACAAAAGAACCACCTACATGTTGAATCTTCGGCAAGGCAAGCTTCGAGGCTGCATTTAGAATTGACTTTCTTCGACAACATCTTTTTGATTAATCCCTTCACTTCTGACCTTCCTCTACAAAAAAAGAAATTGGGCAAATGGAAGAATAGATGAGATTGATCGAAAGTCTTGCTCCATGCCAATTAAGAGCAGTAATAAATGCGTAGATAGCAACTTAAATTACAGAGAGAATACATTATTGCCATTTAATAAGATGGATGTTCAATTGTGAATGTATAGTTTCTGAGAGGGTAAAGATTTGGCCCCGGTCCAAGAAAATATGTACCATATTAGTATTTCAGAGATGTTCTGGGGGAAACTCGCTTTGAAGCCGACGTCTATTTTACAGATGATATGCTCTTTCAACGATCCTTATTGCTTATGAAATTTAAAAATGCCGTAAATTAGGCACTGAAATTCCTTGTCTATTTCAACACCTCAATTCAAGACACAACTCCCTGATTACTTCGCATCATTGACATGGCCACTCCACAGGGAAATGGAATGAGAAGATCTAACTCCTCGGGGGTTCATTTAAACGATAAACTGTATAAGTAATATCTAAACCCTTAGCACGCGCGCAGAGAAAGTAATTGATGTTTGATGAAGTTTAGTCAAACAAAGCAAAAGTCACCTCTAGTTGGCCAATGCTGAATTCATTTAAAAAACAGGATCTCCTCCAATAACATACAACATAGAGAGGAAAGGGGTTCAGATTTTGTTTTAGAGAGTGATACAGTTTGAAACGTGAAGTCAGGATGTGGTATTAATGAGAATTTCAATCATTCACACCGGTCACCACATATTCCTTGTTTTCGGGAAGCTTTGGCTACTCCTGGATTAGTGCTATATGTTCACCGACCGCTAGAACCCCGAGCTCCCATTAACAGGACACGAACCCTATGTGAGGCTTTAAGGCCAATCTAATTTACTATCAATTAAAATTCCTTCTCTGGACCTAAGTAGCTAAATACCTACAAAATTGATTCATGAGTAACTAATCATCAAACAGCAATGTTGGAAAACGAGACAATACTTACAATCCCCATGAACGCGTAATAATCCTCGGATGCATAGATGTTTTGAGTTCTTTCGGAAACCAATTGCCCAGTTGCTTCTTGTCTGGATACACATTGCCCTCAAGGAGGGCGCGAGCAAACCACCTCACACTCCAAATAAGAGCCTCCCTATCACCCAGAGCGGCACAGGACGCCTCTCCAGTCAATGGGAATGGTGTATACAAGGCAGGCAGCTCCAGTCCAGTCTCAACACCAAGGCTATTCATTTCGGCTAAATCTGCGCCAATGAAATAGACTCGCTTTGCATAAGCTAACACAGTATCGTGCTTGGGGTCGTAGAATGGTGGGGGACATTCATTTGGGTAACTAGGTTTCTCTTCTGGTTTCCTCTTCTTGCAATCTTTTTCTCCTTCTGTAGAAGCGACAAGCTGAGGTGTTGTTACTTCGGTTGTTAGAACCGTTTCAGAACTCTCCATTGTGCATACCCCTTCCACACGATAACTACGAGGAGCGAGAAATGGAATCCAGGCCGGATTTATCGCACAAACGTCTAAATTAGAGCAAAAAGGAGAGTAGGCAAACTGAGGGCTTTGAAGTGGTGTTAATGTTCAACGAGGAAAACTCACTACGAAGATAGGGCTTTGAGCTAGTATGAAGTTCAGTAAATGCCACAAAACTGCAGTTCTCTCGGGCTAAAGGCGAGGTTGTGTCAATGAAAACAGGCTCTTGAATACCTAGAACCTATAAAGTAAGATAAGGAAGATTAAAATTAAATAGTACGGGGTAAAAGTGTAGAGTCGATGTCTATCGTTTTTCTCATGTTAAGGATTTCTTCCGCGATAATCAACTGTTACCTTTAGGACTCGCCATTCGGATTTTCGGTAAGGCAAAAGATATTCCTGAGACGAGGTGGTTTTAATACAATTAAAATATGACAAAGCAAACAATTGAGTAATTTTTCTTGCAGATAAAGTACAGCTTTACCAATTTGCTCATTAACTACCGTAATTCTATTCCAATATTTTTTCCAATTTTTCTCTCCATGTTTGATCATGGCCATGATAATAATTTTTAAAACGCATTGCCTTAACATTCATAACAGTAGATCTACAAGGATTATCGAGAAGGAAAATTATGCAAGTTGGATAGATGGAGCTTTATCCATCACTTATCGTGCGAGATCTTTATGATTACACGCAGAGGTCTCAATGTGTATCGAGGAATTATCAAAGTAAGGGGACAACCCACAGCAAAGTGGAGCAAAAAAGTGCAAAATTAAAATGGACAAACAACTCACTTTGTAGGCATACTTTAGTCGTCGTCGATCTTTAGCTGGGAGACCTTCAGCAGGGAGATCGTACTTAGCAGCAAGATGACAGACGGAACCCACCAAAAATAGCTGACGCAACTGCTCAACCTGAACGAAAGTGGGCTTCGGTAGAGCAGGGTCTATCTCCAAATTAAGATCCGGAATATTGGCGTTTACTAGGGAGAAAGGAGAAATAGAAAACATCAAAATCTCTAATTGCACAAGCTTTTACATTGGTTTGAATTAAGAGAATTAGAGTGGAGACCAAAATTGCGACTGATTGTGTTTATTTTTTCCCCCCCACTTAATTTTGTACTTTTACTTCACTATGCGTCCCAATTAACTAGTATAACAAGATTCATTCGAGTGTTTGACAGTGAATTTCAGTTCAGAATTTAGGGTAGCCAAAATGACCAAATAACAACTCATGAGACATGTAAACTGTATTGGGGAAGGAAATCGATGGCCTTGCATAACCGGTAGAATCTCTGCTCTTCAGGGATAATAATCAACAGGGACTCTCAGTAGCCCATTTCAATTATTTGAAGTTGTAAAAGATATGGATGATTGGAAAGCAACATTCAGAATGTCATTCATAACGCCTCTCCAATAATCACTTGAAATGGACTCACACAGATTATGCTCTTTGGGATAAGAGAACAAAAACGATTATCTTTAATCTCTCCACACTTTCCAAGATATCTTCTCTCTGCTTATTCGAGTAGCACGATGTATATTACTAATCGCATTAATAAATTTATCTATATTCTTATAACTTACGGATTTGTGTAAGCTGTTGTCGAAGTTGGCGCACTTCAATATAAGCCTTCCATCGAACACCACACTTCTGAACGAGTTGACGCATTACGCTTTCGGGATTGAGACGTGCAACACGAGCAATCTGTTCAGAGATTCCACTGTCTTCACTACGTGGAATAGTTCCAATCAACTCAGCCCAGTAGCGTTCAAAACAACAGAAGGCTCCAAGTAGAACTGCCAAGTCACCCAACATTAGATCGCTTTCCTGTTGGAAGAATGACTCATTGTTAGCCCACATGCATTCAAATTACTCAAGGGAAAAAATTGCATTTCCTGACGATCATTTGCACGTTCCTTGATGAGACCGACAGACTTTGACTCATTCCGAAATTTGAGGTATGCCTATATTCTCAAAACCTATGACCTAGTAACCCGAACTTTAACTGTCCTGTTACCCTACTTTACTAGCTAGTCTTAAACAGTGTTGTTTTTCATACCACTCATTGAGTGCACATCAAACCCGCGAACTCGAAGTTGACGATAACGATGGTTAATACATATAGTTCCGCAATTCAAATCAGGCACAGTGCGTCCAAAAATGCCCTAAGAGAAATCGGAATTAGTACTTACGGTTTTCAAAAACTGACGGAGGAAATTCACACGAGCCTGAGCGATTCCATCCGCCTCTGAGAGTTTAGCTCTCTTACGTTTCCTTCCACTCATAGTAAGATCCTCGGCCGCTGCTGCCTTCTCTAATTCCGCCATCTCTCCATGTGATTGGTCGTTAAGGAAGAAATCTTGCACTGAAAGAGAAGCTACCAAAACTACAGCATACGGCATGAGGCCACACTGGTTGGCGAAAAGTAACATTCGTGCGAAACGAGTTGACAAGGGTAGACGCGCCATCCAACGACCAGCTGGAGTAATTGTGCGAATAATATCTACAGGAAAAGGAGACGATACGAATGAAAAAGGCTCATTGAGTGTAGGGGGATCAAAATGTCACTCACCTGAGCCCTGTTTTTTGGATTCAAGAGCACCCAAAGCAGTGAGACGTCGTTCTGCAGCTTCTACAGAATTTGGAGTTGGTGGGGTAGGTAGTGGGAAACGGGAGAGGGGGGTACTTCCAAGATATGACTAGAAGCAAGAAATAATGGGTTTATTAAAGGTTTTAATCCAAAAAGAAATACTAAGTTTTAAGTGTGTGAACTAGACAGCGAAACAATGGATGAAACTGGGTAACAACAAGTCACCTTCATGACTCTCATTCGTGAAGGGGGCTGTGAACATCAAAACAAGACAGCCATTGTCTCATTCGCCTTTTGCCCTTATTTACATCCTTAAATTGATCTTATAGACTCTAAAATCGCCTTATCTAAAGGACTTTCATAAAGAACTGTTTATTTGTCGTTAACAAACAGAATTTGTGGAGCCAATGCAAAATACCTTGTCATTTTTAATATAACAAACCCCCAAAAAGCTATTCAATGACAACCAACCTTGAGTAGGAGGACAACTTCATCAATTGGCCGAGTGAGAATATCCGGTGCCGAGAAAGGTTCCATTTCATCAGAATAAATTTGAGAGGAGTAAAGACGATAGCAATGACCGGGTCCAATACGACCAGCACGACCTGCTCGCTGTTCTGCTGACGCCTGACTAATCCACACAATACGGAAACAGGAAGAGCCTGTACCAGTATCGTAGATCTTCGATTTCACCTGTGGAGGGTAAATTAAAGAAGAGGGTGAGTAGAATTACACTAAAACAACTCGATTTATGACTGTACATAGAAATATTTGTCTTGGCTCAGATCTGAAGTTCATATTCTTCAACCCCATTTCCGCTTAGTACCTCTCAACTTAGAACCTTTAAAATTGTCACAGCTCATACCTTTCCAGTATCCACGACGTATCGAATGTTAGGAATGGTGAGGGAGGTTTCGGCGACATTGGTTGCCACAACGACCAAACGATGACCTTCCGGCGGAGACTCAAATACACGACTTTGCTGTTCAACTGGTAGGAGGGAATATAATGGTAATGCATGAATTGGAGCCTGAAATGAAAAACAAAAACCGGCCAATCAATTGGATTAAATAAAGAAAGCGATCACAAATATTTAAACATAAGATCATTTCCTCAGAAAAATCGTCCTTGTTATAAATGAATACATTCTACTAGAAGTGAGATACTCAAAGATGCGAGTTGATGAATTTTGGAACCCCATACAAGTCATCGCTTGTATGGTAGTGCATTACTAATAAAAAATTACTACTTCAAAATACTTTTGGAAAAAGCTCATTAATTAATAAGTAGGATAAAACGTACCACAGGAGTTAACTTCTTCATTTCATCAAGTGCTCTAAGAACCTCGTCGTCTAAAACTTCTTCATCAGCCTTCTGTTCATCGTCGTCGTCGTCATCAGATTCACGGTCCACTTTTTCTCCATTCGTGTTAGGTGCATTGGAAGACCGTGCTTTGATTTCACTTCCCAGACCAACCTCCGTTTCCTCATCGGCGGGAATGATGGCAAAACTGAAATCGAAATTTGTTTAGTGGGTTTAGAAATATTTGCAAACATACTGACGACGTCTATAAACGCTATAAAAAGAACCCTCTTAATGCTGCACATCGCTGCTTCTTCAAAGGCAAAAACATGTGGCAAACGCTTTAAGACATATCTACTATTAACTGTTCTCTTATTTACAGATTATCGATTTTTGCCCACTTTAACTCCTATATATATATACTGAAATTCACTTAGACAACTGTTACACTCGCACATTCAACCACATAACTATGGTAGAATTCTCCACCTTCTCCCAATTTCGTTTGTAACAACAATCTTACCGTAATTCCGACACACGAAAACCTCAAAACAATTAAAGCATACAATATTTTGCAGTTGGGAGACAATTTGAATGCGTACGCAAGCGAATAGCAAATGTCAATTGATTCATTTTTATCGACTGAGAATCAACAAAAAAAATATATGAAAACCGTCAATTCCCTTATCATAGCTCAATAAGCCTTCCTTATTAAAAGTCGGGTTCCAACCGTTTTACAACCCACGCATTTATTTCAAATTGTCCAATATCAATGATTCTACCTCAGACTTAGTGGGTTGATTAAGGAACGTCAGTTATTTCCAGTTAGTAGCAAGAAAATTCATCAGATTTGTAAGTAATTTCACTATCGGATTGGTTTCTTTACAACACAGCAAAATATAACTAGTACATGAACATGCATTGACATCCGAGTCTGAAACCGACTCATCTGCAATGATCTATGCATGGTGGGTACTGACATTACTTGTAAACAATCAAATTATAGACATCGTCATCATCACTTGTTCCTGTATTTCTAACCCACCCTTTTATGCATATTAACCTCGGCTTTGATTGTATTAGGTTGTCAACTAAGTCATTGCCGATTTCAAATAAG